TAAGACAAATTATAATTTATATATATAGATGCGATGTATAAACACATCGCAGTAGGCGATGCATATATTTATCCAAATAAAAATATTACAAACAAGAATATTAATAGAAATATTTTAACAATTTTTTAAAATATTCTTCATCTAAATAATATATGTGTTTAGGTTTTAATTTTTTTGTTCTATAAATATTATAGTATCCAACAGTTTTAAAAAGATAATAAATCCCAATCCACATAGCTTTGTTTTTAGGATTGATTTGTTCCTCTTTATTATTTAGGCAAGCTATCATTAATACACCAAGGTGATAGCTATAAGCAAGCATGTTCTTTCTTTTACCATGCTTTGCTTTAGTATATAGTTCATAAGTTTTAGTAAAATATTTAGTCCAAGGAACATTAATAAGCATAGGTACTTCTACTGGCCATATTGGACTTTCATCAAGAGAAGCAAGTTTCAGCTCTCTTAAGATTTTTTTCAAAAGGTTTGCTTGATAACTCATGATAAATTGATTTTAAAATATTGAAAATAAAAAAAGAAAAAGAGAAGAAAATGTTTAAAAATATAAAAGTATAACTAGAATTATAAATATAAAATAATAAGAATAAACTAATATAAAATAAGAATATAGTGAAATAAATAAAGAGAAGAAGAAAAAAGATAATTAATGTAGTAAAGAAAGACTAATAGAAAAGTTCAGAACACTGTCAACCTGAACAGGATTGAAGTTATAGACAGATTTTTTTTTTTTTTTTTTTTAAAAAAAAAATTTTTAAAGAAAATAGATAATAAGTGTTTAATAGAACTTAATTCAATAGCCTTCTAGATACTATAGGCCAAATATAGAGTAGCATCTATTGTCTTTTGTGTATTGGTTAGGTATAATTAAAATAATTTGCCCTGTACTAGGATTATTATCCACTAAAACTTAGATATATTCTAAAATACAACCAGAGGAAATAGCAATTAATAATCAGACTGTTATAAGCTATATGTGGCCTTAAGTTCCAAACAATGTAAAATATATTGTTTAACAAGAAAGAGAAGAGCTAATTTAATAAAAATTTAAAAGAAAATAAAAGAGAAGAGAAAGAAAAATAAAAGTTGCACCATATAGATGATAAGCAACAAAAATATAAAAAGATTTTTAAAGAAAAAGAGTTTGAAAACAAAAGTTTTTGGTCCTGCCAAGCAAGTTTTTTAGGTTTTGTCATTGTCGCCAAAACTGTAATATAACAAGTTGACTTTTGGTTAACAAGTTATACTACTTGACTTAACATATAAGAGTGGTTAAGAAATGTGTTTATATAATTTTTATAACAGAAAACAGTTTATAAATAAAATAAAATATTGTTAATTTATTGCTAATGTGATCTTAAAAATAAAAGAAAAGCCTAAAAACTAAACAAAAATACTATAAAATAACTAATCAAAAATCAAAATCAAATAAATTTACTCAGTTATAAATCAAAAATATCAAAATAAAAATAATAATTTCACTATAAAAATCCAATAAAAATACAATAAATCTACTATAAATACATTATAGAATTATAGTTTATTACAACAAAATAAGGCTTTATTATTACAGAAAATAATCAAAAAAAGGGTCAAATATACCCAAGACACATTGTAAACATCAAAGGAACAGGTGTGGAGCATATGTTAATATCCCTCTGCCTTGAAAAAAAGGCAGGGTTTAAATATCTTTCTAAAACACTATAAAATTATAAGACATCATTATACAATTAAGCAACTAATATTACAGATTATTGTAATAATAAGATAAATCATTGTAATTATAGTCTGTGCTATTATTTAAGTCACTATTCTTCAATGATAATACTAAAAATAACTATAATAAAGTTATTCTTCAATGAGATGCTATTCTATAATAGCAATGTTACGTATTATTATGATAATCATTATGTATAACATTATACAGTACCGAACAGCAAAAAACATCTAATTTTTTTTAAAAAGTGCCAAATTTTGAGATTTATACTCAAATCTGATTGGCTATTTTTTGTGTAACAAGATTCTGATTGGTTAAAA